ACACACAGACATACAAACACACACCAGGTTGAGGTCTGAGTGCCTGATCTGAGCTGAAAATGCAGGCGTTTGTCAGGTTTGTCTGGAAGCCTCATCTCCAGAGTCTACATCATTAAAGCTACAGTACACACACTGTCTGCAGTCTCAGCTTAACTGTAACCTCAGTGGGACTTCTTTAACTAGATTTTAGTCAAATAAATTAAATTACTACCTGCAGTGCAGTGTAGACCCTATGAGATGCTTTATTTTGGCACATTTCATTATTTTCCCTCCATTGTATTGCTTCCACCATCTGCTAGAAGGGATTTTTATTTATTTATAGGGAACTGATACAGAAAAGACACAAATTGGACTCAGTAAAAAATTAAATTAAGATCATCATAGCTAGTTTAGAATGGAAACAGTCAATATTTGACGGTGGCATTAGTTACCATCACCACAAATTGACTAGCAGTGTGTTAATGAGGAAGTCCAGTACGTAGCAGCCTGTAATATAGATGGGAAATTACAACTGCAGTAATGACGAGTTGTAATAATGCCTTGACATACACAAACATACACACATTTGTGCACACACACATTTGTGCACACACACAGTGCATCACGCCAAGTGAGTTGGTGGTGTGAGAGCTATCCTACTTGCCCCTCACCTTCATTAGCATTGGCGGGGCAGAGTTGGGTAGCTCATTAGCAAGGCAGGCACGACGACGATCGTGTGTGTGTGCGCGCGTACAGATGTGTGTACCTGCATGAACATGCATGTATACATGAAAACCCTCCCTCATCCCGTTTCTGACACATTCATACACGTCGGTGGCCCCAGTGAGCCGGGTCCTGCCCCCGCTCTGATTAAACCAACCACATTATTATTTTAATCTTCATCAGAATCAGCGGAATTATTTCTTCTTTGGCCACAGCCGTGGGCTCGCCAGCAAGCTCATGTGGACATTTGTTTTCACGTCTGTGTGCTTTCATCTATGTTTAGAAATCTGTGTGTTATCTGCCTCTCAAGTCCACATGTTTGCGCCTCATATCAGTGTGTGTGCAGTGAACACTGGTGTTTGTTTTGCTTTCACACCAGTGCTATGCCCTTACACTCTGTTTCATCTCTTCGCTGTTCTGTTGAAGCTGCAGCCATTTGACAGGGGCTAATGGCTATCTAACCACCGGCTATAACAGCTCTAACTTGTTATAATACCTACAGAAATGTCAAAGGGGAAATCATACTGTGATCTTTTTTAATCTTCCTGCTCTAATGGATGATGATGATAATGAAGGCTGAGCTGATATTGTATGCGTTTTGTTTGTTATGGTATATTACAGACGCTTTAAACACAGCAGTTGCACAATGCCACAGTGCCACCTAGTGGTAGAGTTTAGATTCAGTTTTAGTTTCAGGTTTAGTGATGACGGTGTGTTTCTTCTGCACTGCGCTGATGTGAATGTGTTGTTCTTTGTTTGTTTCTCTTTGTCCCGCTCCCTCCCATTTCCCATTTCAGACAAACATGCTGAACAAGCACCTGAGTTCTCTCATGCCAGGTCTGACTGCGAAGGTCTTCAGGACATACAACGCCTCCATCACTTTACAGCAGCAGCTCAAAGAGCTCACAAACAGTACGTCACACACACACACACAGATTACTATAAAGCAGTCTAACATTACATAAATAGCATTTTAAAGCACTGGCTCATATTCCTCAGCAGTTGGACAAGTACCAGTAGCTTTAATACTGTAGTCTTTTATCAGTCTGGCTCTTATCATCATCTTATTACCTGGCTGCTTATGTCATGGAGTCCCATGATAAAACTTTTTATTATTAGCTTGCTTGATTTAAGATACCCTAACATCAGCCAGCTTTTCCAGCCATGGCAGGGGTACATTATCACTATACCCAGTGCTGTGTGTCTCTGCCTCGCTCTTATCAGGGTCCCATTGGCTGCCTCTGCCACAGTTTCTCATTCAGAGATAGAAGTGTCACACTCTCTTCTCATTTCTGGATTGCCACTGAGAGCCAATCTGCAGGTTGACATGTGGTTATAATGTGTGTGTGTGTTGTGTTGTGTGGACCCCAGGAAGAATAAATGAAGCTAATAGGGATCTGAATAAATGAAATGAAACAGTAGCAACCTGTAATTGTGTGTGCAGGATTTTATCTTTTTAAATTTCTGTGCATAATTCTGATCAGATATGTGTTCTCAGTGGGGTTTTCCTGTTTAAATACAAATTACTGTTCTTTCACCCTCCAAAGAGTCGGACAATGTGGCAGAGAAACTGCTGTCCTACAACAGGGCTAACAGAGCAGTTGCTATTCTGTGTAACCACCAGCGGGCGCCGCCAAAGACTTTTGATCAGTCAATGGCTAACCTTCAGGCCAAGGTAAGAACTGCTTTACTTGGTTTATTGCATACAGTCACATTAACATTTCCCTAAAAATGAAGGGACGATAACGCTGCTGTCGCTCCAACAGTTTCCAGCCCAATCAATGCCATTTTTCAGCTCACAGTATTCCATATATAAAAACATGCCTACGTCCTTATGTGCCCTGGCCAGATTGATGCTCGAAAGGAACAGCTGGCGCTAGCAAAGACAGAGCTGAAACAGGCCAAGAAGGAGGCCAAGACCAAAGGCAGCTCAGACCCCAAGCTGCAGACGTAAGTGTTACAATAAAGAAACCAACAAGCAAGCTGTGGACATTAAAACAATTAAAAATGATTGACAGCAATCCTAAAACACAAGCGCCTCTTCAGTGAAGACTAAATCACAAGCCGCACACACAAGTACCAATAGAACGGTACCCTGCAGTTTTAAGTGCTTTCAAACAATACGGATAACTGCTTCACTGTGAATAATGAGCTGCGGTTTAATGCTATAGGAAATGTACGATCTTGAGCTTGAAACACGTTAGCTGTGTTGGTAGCCCAGCTGTTAATGCGCAGAGATGAACTTCCCTGCTGTTATATTTTTTTTCAGTCTTTGTGCCTAGAGCCAAAAGGCAATTACAAACATTGTTAGTTGTACATTACGGTGCGGTGAGACATCCACATATGGATTACAGCTTTTCTGTGTGTATTGCCTCTAATTCACGATTGAAAATCTATTCAGTGGACTAAACTTCAGAGAACAATATGTAAGTTAGTGTTTTGCGGTGCATGTAAAAGGAAAACTTGGTTCTGCTGGCTATTACATGAGATTTTTCAATGAAAAATGTAATAATTAAAAAAATAATGTGTGAAAACAATAAGGGATTCTTCTTATGAAGTTTGCATTTCAGCCAGGACTCTAAAAAACCACCATAGCTGTTAAACCCTGTCTATCACCCCTAGCTCTCAGAAAACGCACTCTCATGTGGAAATTACGAATCTTATTCCTACAATATTTCTAGCAGAGGTGTCTGACTCTGTTGCACCTGCCTTTGTAAACATGTTCTGTCAGGCTGGTGGAGAGGAAGAAGGTAGCAGTGAAGCGCTGTGAGGAGCAGCTGCTGAAGATGGAGGTCCAGGCAACTGACCGAGAGGAAAACAAACAGATTGCACTGGGTACCTCCAAGCTCAACTACCTGGACCCACGCATTAGCGTCGCGTGGTGAGTGAATACTTTGTTAACATTCGAAAACAACCTTGATGCCTTAGTGAAAACACCTCCACATACTTTCTGCCTTAAGAATGCACCTGAGTGCCTGTGTGAGAGCACACAAACAAACTTCTTTTCAAATAGAACTACTGGACCACTTCCAGCTGGGGCCTGTATCACATAGCAAGATTGCAGTCAGCCTGCTAATTTTGTGCTTAATTCTGGATTTCCAGTTTTGTGTAGTTCACTTTTAATAAGTATAAATCACCATAGTAACCTGAGTTTACATAGCCACATGGACAGCACTATTACAGTCACAGTATGATAATAACACAGTTAAAGCAATGAGTTCACAGATCATCAGACTCACTTTGCATTCTATCATCATTTAATAACAGATGTAAGGAAGGTTTGTAGTACAACCGTTTGTCTACTGTGGCTTTAAAACAGATTCTTACAGTAAGCTGTCAATAATCAATAGGATAGGATAGCTTAGTTTCCAGTAAAATATACTAGCACTGTCTAATCAGTCAGTCATGGCCTGTAAATCATTTTCACACTCACATAGCCCATTACTTTTATTTATTTTGACCATTTCTACTGCTTGTTATTCTAGCAGTGTGTTTATATCCTCCATCTGGATCCCTCTGTGCTTGTTCTTAAGAGGAAAGATTTTGAAATCTATTAGACGATTAACTGGTGGATTAAAGATAATATTTATTGTGCAGTGTATCCTTAACAATCTTATGTTTCCCCAGGAGTAAGAACATGGAGGTACCTGTAGAAAAAATCTACAATAAGAGCCAAAGAGACAAGTTCGCCTGGGCCATCGACATGACGGAAGCAGACTTTGAGTTCTAACTTTAACCTTGTATAACTTCAGTCCCATTACCTGATACTAAGCACAATTCGGGAACCATTCACTTTAGAATACATACAGTACTTTAATATTGCATTTACAATAGGTTCATAGACTACTGATGTTGTACTTCATGAGATTGTGTGATGCGTTTTGTTTACTGCTTTTCATTTCTATTTGATGGTTTTTGCACTTTATTTTGAAGATTGCTGTTGGTTCGTTTGTTTGTTAATACATTTTGTGTTTGCATTAATTTGAATAAAGGTTCCTTCTATGCAGTGAAGTGACAAAGGTGTGGTTATAATTAGTCTAAATGCTTTTGTGTGGACATTGTTGCAAATACCTCTAATTGCATACACACTACATAGTTAAAAACATCTCATTGATCATTAGAGAAGATACATTCCAAATTCCTCAGCTTAGTTGATCATTAAGTGTAATACTAGCATATGATTTCAGTACATTATAAACAATGTAGACCAAAAAACATGCAACACTGAGACGTTCCAGATAATTTGCATACAACTCTGGCTTGAAAAAATAAATACAGAAAAACACTGAGCACCTCAGAGTTAATTATATTTTTAGAAATGTAAACAGCACCTTGCCTAAAATTATGTAATACATGACAAACAGCATTGTATTAAATAACTTTAATAGAAGAAAATCAGAATTGGAATGCATACCACAGCTTGGTAGTAAAAGCTGTTTGTAAAACACTGCAGGCTTCAGGTGTTCACTGCGCCCATCTCCCATGTTGGTAGGGATGGAGGCTCTACTGGCCCGTTAGCCTGTGGGTTGTACTCTGCACGGCTACGGCCAAACTATCCCCAACGGCCATCACCTCGTGGGATTTAATTAACTATGATACATGATGGCAGCGAAATAACCTCCAGGTCAGTCCACAAAATCTAAGTTGCATTCCTGTACACAAGCATTTTAGGTTCTGAAGGACATATCTCACTATTCTAGCTTACAAATAATGTTCAACTTTTCAAGTCATTACATAACTGTAACCGTTTATCACAATATTCAATATATAAAAAAGCATTTCACACTACGACACACCAAATCAATAGAAGTCATTTTCAGAATGGAAAAGTCTGCTGCTCCTGAATATAGGACTGACTTCACGCCGGGTTACTGAGGAACCTGTGGGACAGACAAAACAAATCATCATGTAGAAAACTGCTTCAAAGACGAAGGACAATTCATTCGTAAGAGATGATATCAAACTTAATGGACTGTTTTTATTGTTAATGGATATTCAAGGATTAAATAAATGCTTTAAATGTCATCCAAAGTCCACAGGAAGAGGGACACAACCAGGCCGATCAGCAGAATATAGGGCATGAATAGAAGATATCAGGGTATACTGGTGTTAGGGCTACCATTTCCTTCTCACCTTCATTATGACCCTTGACCCTCCTTAGCCTTTTCCGGCGTTGCTTCAATCTCTTCCACGCCGGCCTGGGTCATCAGGTCGGCGATGTTCTTCTCCAAGTCATCGATGCGTGTGCTCATCTCATCGAGTGGAGAAGCAGTTAAGGCATATAAATTACGTAAATTCTCACAGAGTTGCTCTTAAATGGGAAAAATAATATCTGTCAGCCTGCACTGAGATTACGAGAGGAAACTGTAGAGGACGTGAAAGAGGATGCAGGAAACCACCACCGAGACATCAATCTATTATTATATCAGATCAAAATTCTGAACCTTAGAATGCATTTAATCATTTTAAACCGGTAGTTAGGATATTCCTCCCGATGATCTGGTCCGACATGGTCTGGAACTTGTCCTGCATCTGTTGCAGCAGAGTCTGAACCTGTGAAAACACACATCACATGTACCAGTTTAATTTGAGGACGACATAACTGTGAGTGGACTATTTATGAAAACCCATGGCACACAAAAACATCAGCACACCTACTCTAATGCACCATGCCTGTGGTGTATGAATGATTTTTAAAAAAAGCAGCAGGACAGTGATAACAGGAGTATCTAGTTTCCTTGACAACTGTAAAAGCTCAGTAACCAGGGGAGATGATTAATTCACTGTGGCAAGCATCTGTGCAGAACAATGAATGCACCATAAATTCATACTATTCTGCAATTCAGCCCCTCACATAATGTGGCTCTAACACTGCGGTTTCTGTCTGTGGCCCCCAAGACACCGAGCAACACTTTTTTTTAAATTTCACCAAATGTACTGAGGCAGGATTGTAAAACAAAAAGAAAAGAAAGTTCATTAAGAATACAAATGAAAACATATTTAAACGGGACTCCCTGAAAGGAAAAGATGTTTTAAAAGGTTTTTCTCGATGAAAAACACAAAAGTATATAGACAAAATAGGAATATAGGAAAGAGAACTAAAAACTAACCTAAAGGGAGTTTGTTAACCATCTCCATGACAACACTCACACACATTACCTCAATCAGCGAGGTAAGAAAAACTGCACATTGTTCAACATGATGTTAGTGTGAATGTTAGTCATTTAAAGATGACTTACAATAATAACTATGCGGGGTTACTCGGGTCGTGATGTGGTGATGTCACAAGACCATCACAGTTAAGTTACATAACGCGATGAAGCTACACAGCGCGGTTTCAGTAAACAAAACGCACACACTAAACGCAAATTAACCCGTTTAATTACCGCGGGAACACACAAATAACACAAATAACACAAAAACACCACGGTCGCGCTTTTACTCTGGCTCGCAGCCGTCGCTAGCCATGCTACAGTGGCTAACGTTAGCTCGCCGTCTCGACTCACCACATTGGTCAGATCCTGCACAGACTTGGGGTCCGTCTCGGCCATGTTGTGGCGTGTGAGTGATTCTCGGTGCCTAGGCAGTGCTGAATAAAAGTCACAAAGCTGTGCCAGCCGGCTGTTTTGCCACCAGGTTTGTGTAACTGTTTGAAACAGAGATAGTAACACCACCCAGCGCGCAGTCAGCTGTTCCACAACACCGGGAACTCTCGCGAGATTTGAGTCGCGGCTCTAAGACATGTGGAATATTGAGTTTTTTGAATGGGGAGAAAACTGTAGTAGTTTTTTTTTGTTTACCTTATATGTCCTCAAGAAGACTCATTCATTCAAGGTGTTTGTTCATTAGAGTTGGGCTTTATCCTGTTTGGCGCCCATTTAGACCCGCGTGTTTAATGCTGGAATTTGGTAAGTCTGATAAATAATACTGAACAACGGTTTGTGTGTGTGTGTGTGTGTGTGTGTGTGTGTGTGCCTATCTCCTCCTCTCTTGTGCGTGAGTTAGATATGAAACTTGGAGCTGCTGGGGAGCAACAGACAAGTTTTTGGACGCTAAAAAAAGCCCCTTCGTGCCACTGTGCGGGGTTTGGCGCTTTTGAGAAGGTGAAGAGGAAACGTGGATGAAGGTAAGGTAAAGTTGGAAGAGGCCCACGGTTTACCTACAGACAGTTTGGGGGAATAAAATCAGTATCAGCAGCGATACGTGATGAGCGGTGGCTGTTTGTGAGCGCGGCTTTTAAAGCCACAATTACTCTTTCAGGACGCAGACTTTCTCAGAGGACGCTTGTTTTTTGGGGTTTTTTTGGGGAGATGTTTTGCTCATAGTGAAAAGAATTGGACATTACACGCGTTAAACCCACTCTGCAGGCTGCTATAAGTGTATAACAATGTAACCACACGGTGTAATAGCTGCTCCTTCCTGAGCTATAACGTTACTGTACTGAAGAGTAGTTGCCCAGTAGCCCAGAATTGATATCTGTATATGTTTAGGCATGTTAGTGACCCAACCCCAGGAAGCTATGCTTTGCTTACACAAGAGGGCTTGTTCTGTTACTCGAAGAGTCCCAGCACATTTAGGCTACACACCGCCAGGGAAAGAGGAAGGAAATAGCTGAAGATACCTTGGATTGTTAAATCTCAGAGTAATGTTTAACAGAAGGAAACCTGTAAAAAAAAATATACATTTATGGGAATGAGTTCAAGGGCTGCTCTGCAGTTTTGCACTTTTGCATTGTTAATAATCTCAACCTTTTAAAATGCTCTATAGAAATAACAGAGAGACATACACTGAGGTGTAAATAAGTTGAGAACTGGCTCCTGCTTTGGCATCTATCCGCCTGGCACTATCCCTCAGAGCAGCCAGGTCTTGGCTGGGATACTGGCGCCCTTATATCCTCACTTACGGCTGAGTTATGTGGAATAACAGATGTCTAATGAGTAATCAGACCCCCGTTCATCTTCTGGGGGACTTTCGGTGCTGCAAGTGCAGCTAAATTTGCTGTTGTGTTCAAACAGCCTATTATCAGCAATCATACACTGGGTGTGATACAAAGTGCCAGAGAACCTGTTGGTGAGGTTTTTTTTTATTTTGTCAGGGCTGAAGAGTGTGTGATAGACCCAGTGTTGACTAGCTCTCTAAGCTATACTTGTCAGCTGACAGTGACTGCTGAACATGTATGGGAACGTAGGACTTCAGCCATGTGTTTCAGATTTGCTAATATAAATCTCACTGTTGTTGTTTACACAGCCACAAGAAGAATCATACATTCACCCAAGAATCACTCCACACCTTTCCTGTACATGTCACTATTTGCTCAGAATTTCTAGGTCACGGTTTTGTGTACACAGCAACATACTGCCTCTTACATAAAATGCCCACATGCCATTACCTTTTCCAATGTTTATCAGTATTAGAAAATCACATTGTCTGAAATGTAATGAACCACTTTATTTGTTCTGTCGGGTGCTCTGGAGAAAGAGCACTGCCTGTAACAGAGAGGTGCAGATATTGGTATATTATATGTCTATAAGATAATAATAACACTATGGATGGTAAATAGGGCTGCATATTGTGGTTATTTTAACACATATCGTGATTTGAATGTGATTCACAATTAGTGGAAATGATCCTTTTTGCATCTCAACTTTCATTTTTACTGAAAAAAACTATTATGTTGCTGCTGTGGCACATTTTATCCAAAAATTGCAGCTTATGCGATTTGTATATTGCACTTGACATAGTGTGACTTTGATGATATTTTAATGAATTATGCAGCCCTAATAATGATCTGCAGGCAGTATGGCTGCTGTGGAACAATGTTAGCGTGTGAGTTTTGGGAAGGTGTTCAGAGAGTTAGTTTCTTTGCGCCTTACTCTCACTCTCATCCACCCGGCTGTAAACGTTCGACTACATTTCTTCAGTATCATCTTTTCTAAATGTTGACGTGGTTCTCCCATCCAAAGGAAATCCTAGCCAATCCTACTGGCTAGCGTTAAAGAATTTGGATTTATGTTATAATGTATAGACAAATTCAGTTGAATGACATTACTTCTGACATATTGTATCTCACTCTCTCCTTAGATACTAGTAAAGTTCTGAAATCTACTGCATAACCCAATATATATTTCTATTTCAGTTTCATTAATTAACAGAAATTCCATCTCAAACGTGTCACTGGCTAAGATAACCACATCAGTGTTGAGTGTTAAGTACTTGAAAGTGCTTAAATTAAAAATAATAATAATCAAGACCTCACTGAAAATTTGTATCTGTCTGGAGTGCTTGGTCAGGTTTTTTTTAATATTCTTTGGAGCTTTTATTGCCTTTAATGGATAGTGATGGCTGAAGAGTGACAGGAAAGGGGGGAGGGAGAGAGAGAGGATGACACATAGCAAAGGGCCACAGGTCGGACTTGAACCCTGGGCAAGCACCCAGCCTTGATACACGGGGTGCCAGCTTTACCAGGTGAGCTATCCAGGTGGCCCTTTTGAGTTTTTTATGATTGTTTTGTAGTGGGAACTGCTGTATTGATGTGGAAAAAAGACATGAACATTTAGTAGCAATTGCTGAACATCGGACAGGTACTCAGAATTCACTCTGGATTGAATATTCAGTTTTATAGTGAGGTACCTCGATAACTGGATTCCTATCCACATATGACATCCTTTCCAACATAAAAAACAATAGTTTGACATTTCTGGCCATTACCAGCTATTTGGGTCTAGACATTGCCTCTGTATAATTTAATGATAAAATAAAAATAAAATGTCTTGTATTTGGCTCTGTATTAACCTGCTCTAATTAAGTTTCATCCTGATGCATATGTTACTGGTTAAGATAACCATGTATATTATTAGATTGTAATGTGCATGGACTAATGGAATTACACATCATTAGTATTATTATTGTCACATTGTTTTGATATTGCCGTTATATTGACATCGGCCATTGAAAAACAGTTAACATGTTGCACTTGTTCTATTCACATAACCTTCAGGTGTGATCACCTCTGCCTGTACAGCAGGTACACAGAGTGTCAGATGTCCATACTACATACTCTGCATGTGCATTCAGGCTACAGCTAGGAATTGTTTTGAATTTTGTTTTAAAAATATGTCACTATTATTGAATTATTTGATCATTTGCTCCGTAAACTAAATTAAAAAGCAAAGAAGCAAAGCAGTATGAAGTGTAAATAGATAGATAGATACTATCTTGTCTTTATTTATGTAAAGGTTCTGAAGCTTTAATTGCCAAATGTTTCCCAAAATTAACAATTAAAAATATAAGCAATTTCATCTGTTTTGACACCCTATCAGTCAGTAAGTGAATTTCTATTTTCTGACTGATTTGCCAAGGGCTGGCACCCTTAATGATAAAATGTAGGGCAAGGGTAATGCAGGCGTGTTCAACCTAAAAACATAAAAGGTGTTGACTTAGTCAGACCGTCTTTAAACAGTCTTTGTGCACTGTAGAAAGACCAATACATGGTCAAGGGCTGAAGCCTGTATATGGTATTGTTGCTGTATTGTGCATATGAAAGATTAATAAGAATATGTACAGTACATTCTCTAGTAGGAATTACCTCAAAACTAACGTGGGCCACCTAAAACACTGGTTCTTAAATGGTAGGCACACCACTGGTGGGATGTGGTGGAGTCTCAGAAATAATGTTTCCATATCAGCCTGCTACAACTACTGCACACACATACATCTGTGATTAGTTACACCTTGTGTATTGTATGAGAGTTGTGTGGAAGAGTTTGAGTGCCAGTTCTAGTGCTACCCCTTTGTATGTGTGACTGTGGCTGACAGTCAACAATAAATAATGTTCTTATTAGGAATAAACCTGCCCTCTGTCCTAGGGTCGGCCTGTACTACTGTATTTTAACGTCGGTCATAATGGTGGTACCTGGAGAGCCTAATATTTGGCGAGGTGGTGTGTGGTGTAAAAGGTTTGAGAAATAATGACAACAACCTGGTCTTTTTTACCAGCACCCATTCTCACCTGTAATATCAGGAACAGCCATACTAAAAGCATTAATGCACAATACCCAGACCCTGAAGCTGAAGCAGCTAGTTGTAGTTCAGCCATCAATAATTGTATTTATTTTTTTACATCTGTACTTTCCCTACGGTGACAAGCTTATTGGTCTGATATTGTATATACATTTTGTTCTTCTGTGTTTAAGTTTGGCCATTAGGCTGGAGCCATTGTCTTGCTTTAATTAGATTTTTTGTGGTGAGAGAGCAATGTGCAGTCAGCAGGGACAGTTATTTAAAACAAACTGGTCCATACATAACTCAGACATTTAAATGTGATCAGCTTAATATGTTTTACTGCTGTCAGGCTCTGTTGGGAATGTTAATGTCAGCCTCTGTTACTGACCTCTGGTTACCTCCAAACATCCAAAGTGAAAGTAATAACTCTTCTGAACTTATTTTGACTGCGACCTGTCATTTTTATGCATCCCAGGTGCAACCTCTTGACCCCCCTGGACACCGCTGAGCGTCTCTCACTGTGATGGATGCAGAGGTGGGTCTGCAGGAGGAGGACATGGAGGGGTCGTGGACTTTACTGTCCTGGCTGGCGTCCTGCCTCATGGTGTTCGGGGGAGCCCTGCCCTATGTGCCACAGTACCAGGAGATCCAGAGGAGCAGCAACAGCGAGGGCTTCTCCACCAGAGTCTGCCTGGTGCTGCTCATAGCCAACATCCTGCGCATCTTCTTCTGGTGAGGAAGACAGGCGGAGGACTGTGTTCGGGATATTTTCGTTGCTCTCTTCTTTTTTTCCCAGCTAAAGGCCCAGGCCATTTCCAAGGTCATGCCTCAGATCAGTCTTGGTGTCAGAAATTAATGGAATAGGAACACAGTAAAATGAGACTGATAATATATTCTGAGCCATGAGCTGTTCACTTTGAGGCGTCTTCTCAAATTGTTATACGCATCAGTGAGCACAGGTCATTGTTCTGACTGCAGGGACAAAAAGAGGGAATTTAATAGATTCTTTATATAGATTCTTTATTTTTTAAGGTCTTTCTGTGCTGCTTTTGGCCTGTGTTACATGTTCTGTAACAAAACCCATAGAATAGAATAGATTAGTCTTGTTTATTTGTTATTATTATTATTGCAAATGGCATATTTATTTGTATTCTGTGCCGTATTTTTAGATTGCACTCTGTAGGTTCTCTCTGGAATGTGATTGTTGTTTTGGTTGCATCCTGGCAGGATAGGGAAGCAGTTTGAGCTCACCCTGCTGCTCCAGAGTGTGGTGATGATCATCACCATGTTTGCCATGCTTCACCTCTGCTGCACGGTCCAAAACACCAACCGAGTGAGCACCAAGCAACACAGACTTTCAGGTAACCAGCTTTGAGACAAAACAGTCTCTACTGACAACAACCATGACTAAAGACAAAACAGAAGCAGCGTCACGTATATATACAGTAATTGCAAGTCATTTCAGGGTAGTAAACTACATATCCAGCATACCACCTCTCTGTCTGTGTCAGCAGTTTAGGTGCCAAGTGCTTCAACTTCTACTTCTTGCCAAAAGAGGGGGCCATTGGAAAAGCTTTGATGGCAAGGCTGCTGTTTTCAAAATGCCTTCCCTCTGACATTCCACTTACTCACCACTAATCTAATATGTATTGCCTTATTGAACAGTTACTTTAGGCTCCTTGTGTTTAGACGTTAACACAGATGCTGCTGCACACTGGTAATGGTTAAGCCCACGGGGTAATGTAAATAATGCTGTCACAGATATTAGGATACAGTTTGTAAGAAAGTGCAAGGCAAAGCACAAATGTCCTGTATGGATGTATTAGTTACTGGACTGTCACGCATAAGATTAGTCTATTCTGGGCACGACTCTGGGTGTCGGCTGTGTGTGCGTGTGTGTGTGTGTTTGTGTGGGAGTAAGTAGACGAGGCGTGGGTGCAAAGGCAGAATTGGAGAGGGCTAAGATTAACAATATCAGCATCCACTGTTCATTGTGTGTGTGTGTGTGTGTGTGTGTGTGTGTGTGTGTCTGCAGAGAGAGGGAGCCTG